TAGTTCGCTATTCTTCTGGTACTATGCTTTTTAAGCGTAACCAGATGTCTTCTGTCCTAATAAGAGCATTTTCTTGCAAAAAACACCTCAAAGAGTACTCGCGCCACCAAAAGCAAGCACGCATGTTTTTTACGGACGCAAAAGAAATAAGGAACTTCTTGTGCATCGCCTTTGTGTTAGACGCATATGTGACCAGTCCTTCGCGTGCCTTGTGTGTGAGATTAAGGCCAATTTTTTTCTGACTGACAGACAAATGCGAACTGAACGAAATGTGTTGTTGGTTTGCCATATTGTCGTGGATGCCAAAAAAACTCTTTCGTCATCGGAGGCAACGCTGAGGCACACACCTTTGCAAGGCATCAAAGCAAAGGCCATCAAAACACAAAATAGCAACTCTGAAAATCAAATAATTAAAGTCAAACACGGGTAAGTAAAACCAATTTAAACGGTCTCATTTCTTTTCTTTTCTTTTCTTGCGTTGCATTTCCTCAAGAAAACTTCCAAGCAAACCTTCCACCCTTTTTGTAAGGCAACTCTAATCATCTTGACGTTGGAAACAGCAAGTACGAGGTACGAGCGGCCCGACTGCCTGCGCTACGGCAAGCTAAGCGCGACGCTGTAGCGCCGACGCGGTAGCGCACGCAGTTTAGCACGACGCTGATTAGCGCGACGCTGTAGCGCACGCTGTTAGCGGACCTGTAGCGCGACGCTTGTAACGCGACCGCAGTAGCGCCACGCTGATAGCGCACGCAGTAGCACGAGCGCTTGTAGCGCGACGCCTGTAGCGCGACGCAAAGATAGCACGACGCTGTAGCGCGACGCTGCTTTAGCGCGACGCCTGGTAGCGCGACGCATGTTAGCGCGACGTTAGCGCGACGCTTGTAACGCGACGGCAGACCTAGCGCGACGCTGTAGCGCCGACGCCTGTATCGCGCGACGCAGTAAGCGCGACGCTGCTAGCGCTACAAGTGTAGAACGTGCCTAAATCCTGGGTGCAATCCGCATCGAAGCAGCTCAACAAATTAACCAGGTCGTGGGCGGCCCAATAGTGCATAGGATGAAAGCACTGTGCGGCAATGGCTAACCAAATTCGGTTCTGGAGATTTCAGCCTTGAAGATACACCTCATAGCGGTCGACCTAAAGCAATATCTGACGAGGATTTTAGGGGGATTTCGGAGGTTGAACCATCCCAAACAGTTTGAGAGATAGCAGAAGAGCTAGGCCTTGGCAAATCCACTGTTGCAGATGGTCTGGAACGCATTGGGAATGTTAAAAATCTCGACAATTGGGTGCCTCACAATCGGAGTGACCGGCAGGAATCGGCACGTCCCGAGGTTAATTCTGCATTGCTTTTGCGCAGCAGAAACGATCTGTTTTTGGACCGAATTGTCACCTGTGATGAAATGGGTCATGTATGATAACAGGAGACGTTCTGGACAGTGATTGGATTTCGATGAACCACCGAGGTAATTTTCAAAGGCGAACCCTCACGAAAAAAAGATTCTGGTCACGGTATAGTGGTCATCGGCTGGTGTGATCCACTATAACTTTTTATCACCAGGCCAAACCATCACAGCAGAACCCTACTGTGAAGAAATCAATGAACTGTACCGAAAATTTTGTCAGCTGCAGCCAACTCTTATCAAAAGGAAGGGTCCGATTCCTTTGCATGACAACGCCCACCCACACGTTTCACAAATCACTATCCATAAATTGGGGGTTGAAGTTCTACCTCAACCGCCATATTCTTCAGACCTTTCGCCAACCGACTATCACCTTTTCTAACATTTTCAGAACTCCCTTGCCGGAAAATACTTCATCAATCAGGACCAGGCAAAAAAGCCTTCGTATATTTCGTGAACTCTCGACCACCCAGTTTTTTTTCTTTGATGGGATTTCTCGACTGCTGTCACATTGGCAAAAGTGTGCTGATTCGAATGGTGCCTATTTCGATTAAATCCGATGAGTATTAAAAAAGTTGCGATCGTTTAAAGTGAAACATCCAAAACGCTGAGAACTTTCCGGACAACCTAATACCTCTGGGAGCAAGTTCCTAGCCGAATTTGATATTTCGACCTAACTTGGAAATGTGAGTTATTCCATGGGTAATAAGCGGCAGTTACGAGCTCACCTACCATCGATGACTGGTCTCGGGATGGAATTCCTAACCGTAATCAGAAAAATGATGCAGACGGCACAAATAAGTAAGCCGTACTGTTTTTTGCGAAAAGACATGACTTAAGAGTTATTTCAGTTCGAAGACCAGTCATCACCAGTGTGCTAGTCGCAGTATGGCTTTTGGCTATCAGTTAGCCATGACTATCTATACCCCATTTTTTCGAAGTTGAGTCAGAAATTCAGATTTCTCTAAAATGACGTCTCTAGGGGTTATTTGACCCCCTGAACACAAATATGACACCTATTTTGCGCGAAGAGCGCTGCGAGTCGCACTACAGGTGCCAACGCTTCGGCGCCAGCGCGCCTGGAGGAAGAAAAACGGTAAAGAAAAACCTCTATAACTCCGCTCAGAGAATCCTTCCGCAAATTTTGAAGATAGTTTCGAGTTCACCGTGTCAAGATGAGTACAATGATGTGCATCTCATTGTATATGGCCGGGCTGACCTGTTGACCTTTCCTGGTTAGTTCTCTTCAAGTTTCCCTTTCCACTAATATTTAACCCATTGCGTACCGCGTGCTGCACATGGTGAAGCACTCTTGGTTTGAACTCATTTAGCATTGTTAGATGACTGAAAAGAGTGGGTATATTCCTGAAGTCGTCTGGGACAAAATATGTGTGGGGGAAATTGCGAGATTGAATAATAGCTAAGTTGCTGGCATTTTTCGAGTAATACCTCAACTATTACATTTTTCAATTAACTCTCCTTTACCAATAAAACCGAAATCCTGCTTAGTACACGACTGAAAAATTGTAAAATGGTGTGAGTGAACAGCTTCTAAGCACACTGCGTCACTTTTTTAACTCCTCTTAATTTATCAAGCTTTTTTGGCTAGTTTCGCATTTTTCGGCTTTACACGTTTATCACGTAACAATATTGAATCCACTTTAGCATACGTATACTTATAAAACTGATGCATAATACAATGTGTGTGCAATATTTTTATGTTATATCTATAAGATAAAAATCTTATGTTTTTATACTCAGCGCGTCAGAAATCGCGTCGCGCAAATACACTGCGGTACGCAATGGGTTAAAGGCAGCGTCCGCGTTCAGTTGAGATTTTCCTCCCCCTTCGTGAGTAGGTAGTTAGAACCGCTGGGGCAACAACTACACCACTTTCGCGGCGCAAAAACGCGTGAGGAGAGCAACGATGCTGTCGTTCTTATCATTGACCCAACCTACAATCATTGGCACCGCCCACCATTCATTTCTAATGGTTGCCTGATGGTGCGGTTGTTTCGCTGCTGCTTCTCTCCACGTCGAGTGGTGAGAGTGAGGTGATAAGGGAAAGCAGCTGATATCAACAAGTGAGAACTCGTGCGATCACACCTTCTCTTTGCCTTGAGCACGTACAACCTCATTTAAGCAAGGGGTTCTATACAGAGCCTTTTCTATGATTTCTTTCTGATATTACTAAGGGGTCACTTGCTACCGTTTGCTATAAGTATTTGAACCACATAACTCATCAAATTTGAATGCGGGCTCAGCCTTTAAATGCTCAAACTGAAGTGTGAAGTCGACGAAATTGAGCATTTTCGACAGACTCCCTTTAGTACCTCCATTTAAAAAGCTAGAAGCATGGGCCCAGCTGCTAAGGGTATGGCTGAAAGGATATATCTCTTGAGAGTCATAACGCTTCAAGTGATTCGAAAATTTCAGTTTCGACCTCACAGACAAGCATCGGACCACCTTATTAATTGTGAATCAGGCAAAGATTGAGGGATCGTTAGAGGTCACAGAATGCTTCCTTATCATTATCAACCACCAACGTCCTTGTTAGACGTTTAAAAATAAGTGGGTGGGTCCTGCAGGCAGTCCCTCCCCAAGAGCCCACCCCCCGCGCGATGCTCTTTTACAGGGTCCGAATTCCCACCTCATGATCGCTTGAACCCACTTCTCTTCTGTAGATTGAGAGCCGAGATATAATTCAAAGAGTGGTTGTTAAAAACTAACTTTGGGTCGGCCCAAATTCCTCTTTCAATGAAATAAAAAAAAATCGACACAAGTCGAGAAATAGAATAGTGCAATTATACTATCTTATGTGCGAAAAATTGTTCAAATCGTGTAGAACATATTGGCAACATTTGTCATTTTCCACATTAAATTTGTTGTGACAAAAAACGCCATTACTTATGGGCCAACCTAATTTTTTAGGTCTTTAAAATTTGCTGAAGAAACAGCAGTAAATAATCAGTTAATGTTGTAGTCGTCAAGTAGAGGGAAGGTCAGGAGCAATATTTGAGGAAGGAAAATAAGTAGATGAAGGAGTGGTTATATAAGCCAGGGAGCAACTAAGTCAGGCGACCCCACAGACAAGTCTCCCCAAGAGGCATGATGGGTGTGAAGTGAGATCGTAGAACACCACATACCCGTGACACACAAGTAGTGTATCTCTATTCGCGCTGCCGCGCAGCTGGCCCCTTCCCTAACCTTAGCCAAGTGCGCTGCTTGTCAGCGCCTTCTCCCTTATGGTTATTCTCTACTCTCGAAGCGTGTTTCGCTGCGGAAACTTGGTGTTGATGCAAGTGCTGCACTAGGATAGCGTGGGTGGAGTACGGAGGAAGCATCTGGGCATCACTACCTTTCAGCTAGTTGCTGCGCACTTTTGGGCGGAGAAAGTGGGATGCTACTGAGCTGCGTACACACACACCTCGCACATGGAAAGGAGGCTCCTCAGAAGTGAGTGTACAGTTGGCCTCTAAAGTCCAGCCACGTGCAACCGTATCTCTGGATCACTCGGAAAGTACCTGTTCTGAATTGTCCCGAGTTCAGACATCCAATAGCCTACAAACAAGCTCGTCCTCGTTCTTCAGGTGGAAATGGATTTAAGAAAAGATTTGTGCGAACTTCTCGAAAAGAAATGTATTGTGAGTAATGCTCAGGATGGCACCGTAGCTGGAGCTTGTTCCACAGGTCCTCTTCATAATAACATCCCTTTTTCTTAAAACATGTTCCGTTCGTTTTTCAGAAAGCCCTGAGGTTGGAAATGAAGATTCTAACGTTAGGGAAACGAAGCGCTTCTTACGATCAAGGAGATTGCGCGCACGGAGTAGTAGCTATGACAATACAAGGTCAGATTTTTGTGCTGTCATGTTGCTGTTTACCTTCAAAGTTTGTCATTTAATTGAGAATCAACATTCAAGAGTCTGGCCATTAAATGTGTAACTGAGGTTCATACAGACTGAGAACCAGTGACTAGTCGTAATTTGTACAGAATGTGTAGCAGAAGGATCGTTGGGCGTAACGGTGTGGGTGTGCGACGTCCTGCGCGCAAACGGCGAGTTGTCCTGCATATCTCATTTTGATGGATGGCTCTTTGATTTATTCCGATACTGTTTCTTCCACCTTGTTACCCTTATCTCTAACGTTCCTTGCTTGCTCCTGAGTATGGAGACTCCCCAATAACGTTTCGCTTAGAAGAAGTGTGGTTAGCGTCCACCTCGCCGCTTTGCTACTTGTTTTCCATCTCAAAAAGTGGCGTTTCTTATATTCATGGGAAGCGAATGCCAGTGAGTGTCAAAACCTTCCCATTATACCTAGTCTGAATAAGAAGTAGGAGAAGTACCTTAATAAAGAGTGGGAAGCTTTAATAAAAAATTTATGTAAATATCAAAGAGTTGACTTAGTATGCATAAGAGTATGTAGTATTTAGCTTAACCACCTTTATTGTGTGGATGGCATATCTCGAGATATTCCGAGCACCTTCATGTTCATTCCAGTGCCTCTGGTGACACGACTCGGAAACGGGCGTCATTCCCGCGAAGTGCTGAAGATGTGCAAAGTGGTGTGTCACAGAGTCGTTTCAGTCCGCATGGTGACGAACCTCCTGAGGCTAAAAGAGTTATGGTGAGAAATTTTATTGCTTTCATCTTCATAGTTAACTCCTGTTAACTGGCATGCGCTCAACACCCCCCCCCCACCCCATTTATCGTTCAGTGCCCCATTTTTCGTATTTCGAATGATTGAAATTTGTCGACGTGGCTGGTCTGACTGCAGTATTGTTTCCGGGACTAAATTGCACGCTTGAAAAACCATTTGCATAATCCTAAGACACGAGCATCCACTTAGCGTGCAGCTCCAAAACACCTCAGATCCCGACAGTCGCTGGCAGTGGTCCCCAGGGCTAATTTGGTGTCCTTAGTGCTAGAAAAAAGTCCCACCTAAATTTCAAAAAAAAAATGGAACAGGCAAGGGTCAGTGGGTCCGGTTTTTTTTACGGAGACGATGTTTTGTGTTTGTTTTTGTAAAGTAAAATAGATATTCATTGCTTATTCCAGGATTCGCGGTGTCACATTGTTGGTAGTGAATCGCTGCGTACCCTTCTTCAGATGCAGAATCCTAATGTACTGGATGCTGTGCGGTTTGTTCCAACGGTGGGTACACTGTCAGTTTCATTTTGGTAACTGAAAGCAGTCATCTTATATATCCACGAAAATTTGAATAAAATGTGAATGTGAATAAGTACTGTTTATGTAATGAGAACATTAACCTTTTGTTAGAACTTCTTACAGGGTTTGTTAGTTGGAGTGCAGTTTTTAAGAGTGATTGCTTTAGGTGACAGTTGGGAACGCAGCCAAATCTTTAGCCGAGCTTGCTATTGCCACTCCTGCCAGCTTTTCCTGCTTGCTACCAGCTGGTGATCAACCTGTCACTCAATTAAGGAGCAGTGTTATTGTAAAACGTCGTACCGGTCCGAGTATAGTCAAACCTGTGAAACCAACGAACAAAGTCAAGGCAAGGCTTCTTCAGTTTTGTACTTCAATGGTCTAAGGCCACTTAAGATGTCTTTATGCATATACTCCTCATCATTACGGACTGTCGGGGCGGGTCAGTGCGGCTGCGTTTTCCGCGATTTCCAAAGTCTTTCTGCAACCAGTTGTTGAAGCGATCAAATGACATAACAGCATTATATCCTTCGTATTACTCGTTTTCTACCACTTTTTGTCGCATACGCGCTTCAAAGAAAAGGCTGAGAACGCCTTCAAACAGTGTGCGCACTCCTTCTGGCCGATACGCCCCGACAGTCCGTAATGAAGAGGAGTGTACATGGATAATATATTATTTACTGGATGTTGAAAACTTGGAAGATCTTCACTATCTCATGATTTCGCCGCAACATTCCTTGAGCTATGATCAAACTGTGTATGCTGCGAACTAGATATTCGTGATTTCAGCCAATCGCATCGGTGCGACCGCTGTCATCAGATCACTACATCAAATCGGCTACGGTGAGTCTTGAACGTTTTTCGAGAGTCACTGTCATATGAATGGGAAGACTTTTACGCAGGGACTTCCCTCCAACTCTTATTTCGATGTATCAAGCGTACCAGCCTTACTGCCCTTCTTGACAGCTCCCTGCAATCTGTTTCTGACATAATTTATCATAGATTTGAGCGTATTGTGAGAAAAGCTGGTTTCGGGTCCCTTTCAAAAATTGAGAAAAAATGATGTTTCTCTTTTAAATTGCTTAACCTTTTCTCATTGAGCTCATCGATGAAAAATCGGAAACTTTGTTGAACGCCTCGTTTTCAGCTTTCGATGTGATCATTTGATTACGCTATTTTTCGATATCATCCTACTTTTCCTTTAGGAAGTTGTACTCGACGAGGATCACAATCATATAAATGCTCATACTGTCGGTGATAGCTCGCTCTCACCCGAAAAGAAAGGTGTGCGAAGCGTTTAATTGTGCGAATATCTTACTACATTATGATTGCAGAGTGTGCAATTTCATTCCACGATAATGAGAACAACATGGAAGCGGTCGATGAACGTTGGGTTATTGATCGCATTGCCCAATTACGGTTGGAAACCAATTCTACTGGTTTGTAATTTCCAAGTTCCCATCGTCGCCACTATTTTGCTTGTCCCTCCACGTGATATGCAGTGTTGCAATTATTATTTCATTTTATGGCAGCCCCGTCAGCCTTCAATTTTTGAAACGATTAGTTTGTGGTTTTGGGTCGAAACACTGGACTCTAGATGTAGGCTGCAATTCAGCGCCTTCCCCTGATGATGAAGATGCTGCAGCGAATCATTCCTCCGTAGCGAACAGTACTTCCACACCTTCCGTATCTTCAGTTGCCATTGATGAACATTGTGATCAATGTAGAATACATAAGTGGGTTTTGTTTTTATGCTATTTTCAGAGCTCATTGTTTCCCCAGTCTACTTTTTCATTACTAGGTCGTGGCTTGTAGCAGCGATGATGGCGAGAGCGTGCAAACGAATAAAAATCAACTACAACACTGCTAGCACTGGTAGGTTGATTGCAAGAGTTAGTTTTCCATTTTTCTTTAATTGGTAGTCACCTTCAGGAGTGGTTCCGTTGACACGAGATCAGTGGAAGAATCTCCTCAAGTTCAGACTATCGTCGCGAAGTGTTGGGAAGTCTCCCTGTGTTCGGTGCGAAACCGCGCTCAGCAGATGTTTGGCCATATTTAGTTCGTCTCATATTTTTTTATTTGGTCAGATAGAAAGCACTGCATCATCAAAAGTAGACTTTTAAATAATTGAAAAGCCGGTTGAGTCAGCGATATGATTGCTATGGTTGTCTATGACTTCTACTTTTTCATAGGCTGTTTCATCACTCGACTTCTCCCAGAACTCGGGTTCTAGAGATCCAAGAAGTTGGTAAAACACGTTTCACGATGATCATGAGAATCGAGTTGTTGATGCAGCATATATTCTTCAAGGGCTTTAAACAGATGGTAATTAGGTGGCATCGGTCTGTAGAGCATGGCATAGCATATGGGGTTATGCTTCCTAAGGCTCCTGAATTTTTTACGAGGCATCTTTACCACACAGAAGCGAGCATTGCAGTGAAAAAATCAGACATCATGCCATTTTGGACGTTTTCGAAGACCGCGTGAGCCTTAATTTGTGCTTAGCAAAACTCTTCGCCTTTTCGACGGCGATGTCACTCCCCGGAACCCACGGTGAAGTGGTCACAATTCCACAAAAAAAACTGCAGATCCACCTTCACGGCTCACCTTCGATCTACCATCACGTTTGTCAGTATATCCTTTTTGTAGAGTCTAAGCAGCAGGCTGGTGATGGCACACTAAAAGTTCCATCCGAGTCTATGTGAACCCTTAAAGACACATGGTACGCTCATACACATTGAGGGTGTATGAGACTATCAGCCCCCCAGAAGTCGATGTGTCGTGGTCCCTCCGCCCAAACATGCCCAGGAATGGAGATACAGGGCCGTGAAACACGCTAATTCTTCCATGCTCCGCCCACTGCCTTTTTACGGCGCAGATTCCCGCCGTTCTGAACATCCGGCGTAAGCGCGCCTGTCGCGTGCGGCTCCTTGGCACTTTGCCAAGTCCTTTATTGCAGCTCTCAAATACAAGGAAAAACGCAATTTCCTGATGCGGATAACATTGGACGTGCTACAAAATAAGAACAGAAGATGATGACGAGGGGTCAGAACTGAAAGCAACTGCTGCCACTTCTCCAACATCCCTCGGAGGCCGCGTATGTCACGAAACATGAAAATAAAAAGGGCATACTTATTAGTTTGATACAAACGCAATTTCCTGATGCAAATAAAATTCTAGTGTGTGCTCATGCTTCAAAATCCATGTTCAAGGAGAATGAAGATGACATAGGCTAGAAATGAAGCACCACGATGTAAATGTAAACAAAAACAAAAATGAAAAAATCAAGGAAAGGCAAATTAGATTAAACGGGCCTGTAAATTTCTACGATCCGGCGCCAAAGCCATAGAAATACTTAGAGCAAACGAGTGGGACGCTTGGGCTGTTTTTATTTTCATGCTTTGTGGGAATGCGCGCCCGATGGATACTGCAAATGCAGCCGAGTTGCTCTTGAGTTCTGACCCTCGTCATCATCTTCTGCTCTTATTTTGTAGCACCTCCAATGTTATCCGCATCAGGAAATTGCGTTTTCCTTGTATTTGAGAGCTCAATTAAAGGACTTGGCAAAGTGCCAAGGAGGCGACAGGCGCGCTTACGCCGGATGTGTCAGAACGGCGGGAATCTGCGCCGTAAAAAGGCAGTGGGCGGAGCATGGAAGAATTAGCGTGTTTCACGGCCCTGTATCTCCATTCCTGGGCATGTTTGGGCGGGGGGGACCACGAACACATCGACATCTGGGGGGCTGCTAGTCTCATACACCCTCAATGTGTATGAGCGTACTATGTGTCTTTAAATCATTCCGTGAAAACAAGGGAAGACTGATCAGTAGCTTTCATGAGGCTGCCACCTGAAACAATTAGTCGTTACCAAACTAGTGCCGTTAAGCTTTGACAGAGAGAACACAACTTATTAGGTTGTCGCATAAGTGTTTATACACGACTTTTTTGTAAATATCTCAAAAACGAACCAGCCTGGAGATTAGGGGTAGGCACCATCACCATTCACTACTCTACGCTAGCGCTCAGGCAGCTTGTCGATTCCATCCGTCCAGAACGACGGAGGCTGGGACTTGAAGAAGGTCGTCGAGCGCCCTTTCTAGACCTAATCCTTGTTTCGAACTTTTTTCCGTCAGATAGCGCTGCAGGTGGCTGAACAGCCAGTAGTCAGAAGGAGCGAGGTCAGGGCTGTAGGGAGGGTGGCGCGACCCTCAGCCATCCATACTTCTCCAGCTCGGCCTGGGTCGCCTTTGCAGCGTGAGGTCCGGCCTTGTCATGGTGGAAGTAGATTTCCGCATTCCTTCCACGAGTACGGTCGACGTGATCTTTCAATTTCCGCAGCTGGGTCACGTATGTGGAAGCGTCAATCGTCTGTCCCTTCTGCAGCAGCTCCCAGTATTCATGCCTCTTTTGGACCACCAACAGGACAGGAGAACCTTTTTGGGGTGTCGGCCTTTGGGTTGGCTTCTGGCTGTTCTCCTTTGTCGACACACTGCCGCTTCCTCACAGGGTTATCGTAGAGGACCTGCTTCTCATCTCCAGTGATCATCGAGTTGAGAAAGTGAACCTCTTTTGGAAAGTGAGAGGAGAGGAGGATGCAGGTGTGTCACCCTCAGGCGCACAGCATTCGATGGGGATTTTGGTCGACCTTTTACGACCCCCCCCCTTTTTCAAGGGCTGGTACGCCCCCCCCCCCATGCTCGTACGATGGCTGACATGGCTGACTGTGGTTGTGGGTTATACTCGGCAAAAAAGTTTGTCGAGCGGGGGGTATGTAGTAGGCATGCGACGTACATCGTACGGGCGTACATAGCGCTGTCAAACCGTGTTCTACGTAACGCGCGACTTATATCGTCTCCAATTGAGAACGCAGAGACATAGAAATATGAACCTGTGGACAAGCTTTAGGAAGGACAACCCTATCCTACAACTAATGGTTCCCCTATCGTACTCATTGTCAGACTAAACTCGCTTTCTGCTGTGTGGTAGTTTCATTTTCACTACATCAATTTATCATGAATCTGCAGAGAGGCGAGTTACGGCACTCCACGGCCGAGACACGGGAACGAGGCAGTGCTTCACTTATTTGCCACCCGCCTTTTCGCTGACACCTCACTTACGACCCCATCCCATGTACTACCGCATGCAACATACGACCCCTTCGTCGCGCGTTCGCGCGAGCACTGACCCTGACTCCTCACCCCTGCCTCCCTTCAGTCACGTTTGCACTTGATAGACATTTTGACCAGGAAACAACCACCATTAAGCAGCTATAACAACCAGGAGTCTCGGTTTGACTTGAGGAGTGCATCCTCTACTAGCAAAACGGGTCTGCGAAGTAAAAGCGCCAGTGATTAAGCCAATTAAAAACAAGCTTGAAACAAAATTGAATCTTCACTATCTCCTTCGCCACAAATCACGAGCCCATCTTATTTGCTTTGCTTAATTACGATTAGCCGAAGCATCCACACCCGTAAACATCAATACAGACTGTGCGTACGGCACTACGCGGCCAATGAAGCTACGCACCCCACCCCAAGCAGTGTGGCGCGGACAACAAATTTTCGGCCAAGTAGGGTGCTTGAAGGATCATAACTTCCTTCAAAGCCAGGACCTAATGGGGGAAGCGGGAAAGCGTAGGTGCCCGCTAGAGGACAGGTTTGTTGATCTTCCTAAAAGTGCTAAAATCTTCATGAATGCGTACGCCAAATCACGAGGAAATTGCTTGGGCATCCGTTGCGCGGATTTTGTTTTGGAAACAGGCGTTCTCGACATCATATACTCTCTTTTTTCTGTAACTCAATATTTTCACAAATCTGACGAACGCGATTCGCATGTGTATGAAGACTTGCCTCTTTTTTAAAAACCCTATTGAACCTGTTTTGGAACGTCCTCGCGGATTCATTGAGAATCTGGCGTTGGGTTTAGTTGCCGGAGTACTACGAGCTCGGCTGAAAAACCCAGTTTCCTGTGTACCGTTTCAAGTGAACGCCATGTTCGAATAACAGCGAAACGCATGATAGAACGTATCGTGTGGTGCGATGCAGCAGGCAGAATATGCGTTCGTTCAGAGCTGCATCACCGCCCAACTCTCGGATGCGCCGGCACTGGAGGTCCGCCGCAGAGATTGTCGATGGCGATGGCTGCCCAAATTTGCTGCCCCATAATGTGTGCCACGCGCCGCGCAAAATTGTTTCTGCTCAGGACTTCCACGCACCGCGTCCATGGCGAACCTGTTGCACTTGATCCTACAGTGTTTTCCCTTGCGGAATGATGTGCCGTGTGTGTCGACGTCCGCCAGATCTGTGCTCCGATAGTGTTGCTGATTCCTTAAAGGAGAGCAAGGTGCTGCCGGAAAACGTCTGGTGCCCGAACGACTATGGCTAGTCCTGTCCTGTTGCGTCAGAAAAAAAAACAGCGTTGGACCCCTCAGCGCCAAGCTGCGGATGCGCGGACACGCCCCATTCATCCTGCGCAGCAAACCAGAGTATGAGTTGCTAGTGTCTTAATCACGTACGAGATGTTGTCGACTTGTATTAATAATTCCAATTATTTCGCGATTAGTTTTGATGCGAGGAAGTTTTTGCTACTCATTTTTTAAACATATCCGAGTTCTGTACGAAAGCAAGTTCCGGCCTACAACAGGATTCAGCCCACTGACAGCCTTTGCGCTGCCTCGCATACTGGCCTACCGCCAGCTCATTAGCGACCCCCCCTCTCCTGGCGGCCAAAATACGACCCCCCCCCCCTATGGCGGCATTCCCGCAACCAATGCTGTGCCCTGGTCACCCTCCTCGACGCGCACTCACTCACACGCCGCCGACAGTTCATGTGGGACCCATCGACCAAGCTTTGCTACCTTGCCGAGCTTTTCTAGTCCACGTGCAACCGTCGAATGATCATAGCTAAGCATGGTCGCCATTCCTCTGGTGGTGAGGTACGGGTCCTCTTCCACGGTGGAACGTAGTGCTTCCAAATCCAACTCCATCGGCCGACCCGACCTCGGAGCATCTTTGAGAGAAAAGTCTCCTTTCTTGAATTTGGCGAGCCAATTCTTGCATGTCATGTAAGAGATGACGTCCCCACCGCATGTATCCACCAGCTTGGTATGGGCTTCCTTTGCATTCCAGCCGAAATCGTGGAGCAAAACGAAACAGTGGCGCAGGTACGTTTTGTCACAGTGCAAATTGTGCGATATTGTGTACTGCAAATGCAAGCTCGGTGAGTGATAGCTAGTGTAATGAAAGAGTATAATGTACACGTCACGCACACATGATGACGTAATACCAACACCCATGCGAACGAAATAGGAGAGGATCAAACACGTGTATAAAAACTTATGCGACAACCTAATAAATGGGAAGCACCTGCTTAAAGAGTCAAACTCAATGTGATGCAGGACTTCTGTTCAACATAGTCATGTATTTCATTCATTCCACTTCTATTGTTGAAAGCTGTGTATGCGCTCACTAGCATTGTTGAAGGGAAAAGCCAGGAATCACTCGATCTAGTTCCTGAGAACCTCCGCCCAAATCCAAAAAAGACGCATGAGCGATGCATCTCGATGGACGAAGAGAGAATGAGATCTACTTTATTTGACAGTGTTGCACAATCCAGTGCATATAGTGTAAGGCAGTCCGAGTCATTGCCTGTCAAAAACGGTGAGTCCTACTCTGTGGCGCCTTTCTTAGGGACGTCAAACTTGCTAGTTACCAAGTGACAGCTCCCACAAAAGGGGAAAGGGGTCTTTTAGGTCACGAAGCCTATTTTCAGAAGAGTTTGTTGCATGTTGTAGAGATATGGTTTGTAACATCGCAGTTAGTCGGGGACAGGGTACAGCATCAACCCATAGGGGGGAGCGTACTTGGCCGCTGGGGAGGGAGGGTCGTTATCTCAAGGGTCACTCAGCCGGGCAATGCTTCGACTTTTCACTCAAGACAGTGGGAGTGGAGCTATGGAAGTCAAGATGGTAAAAAAAATTGAAATTATTAGGTTGGCGGGAAAGTTCTGTCACTCTTTTCCGAACTCAAATTACTTGCCCATTACCAAGAGTGGTAACCGGTAATGTAAGCTCTTATACAACAGAGGATGGTCTCTCTGTTAGTACCACTCGTTTGCCTCTTGCTCCTTCTTCTGCAATACGCACAAGGATTTTATCCGCTACCATCAGCCCCGACCCATCCAACAACTTCCACAAACTATTTCACCCACCACCCTGACGCCAGCGTGTTAGCTGCAGATGCCAAATTGATGGAGCTGATTAAGCACGATGCCCCAATCATCGAGCAACCTTACCACGACAGTGACGCTTCAAGGCGGGAGCCTAGGGAGCCTACAGTTTTGATGACGAGGTGAGGTTTGGGTTACCTGCAACCTGAGGGAGTATGTGTCGCGGAACTGCTGGGTTGAAGAAGCTGCTTCTTGGGCAAGGCGTACGCAAAGCAGCTACGAGATCTAAGGCGTATCGTGGATCAGAGGGAAAAATTTGTCCGCACAGCCGGCCCTCACCAAGATAGTGCAACGTACTTGGTCCAAAAAAGTTTCAGCCGTACCTCATGCAATGGAGCGTGATCTCTCTCCCTTGCAATTGTGTAGCACAGACATCGCCCCTTCTAATAGCAAGTTGCCTTCCGTAATCGTTCGTTATGCGGACGAGAAAACCTCCATAACCCAAGTTCAAGTCGAGGTTCAGATGGTGTCTAACTTTGCGTCGTGTCTCCCTGCATAGTGAAGCAATGGCATCCATGAGGTGCTCAACAACTGGCAAAGACCCGCACTAACATTGCTATACAATTTTGATCTTACACTCCTCTCTATAAAAGTAAGCCTAGTTTGAAAAAATGTGACAGAACTTTCCCGCCAACCTAATATTATGAGTGTATTCTTGACAGATTTAACTGCTACGTTTAACAGCCCTCTTTTCATGCGAAATCCTCAGAAAGCGGATCGTACTTGGCTGCGGGGACGTGGGGAGTATTGCAATGTAGGCTCGCTAATCATCAAGCAGTACAAAAGTGTCATTGCTAAGTTTGGTGGAAACGGCCGGAAAGCTGCAGAAGACCCGGATGTAAGACTACAAAATAATAAAATTTTGATTAATAGTATAACAAGAATAGCAAGGATCCTACTATATATAATCCGCTAAGTTTGTCTGTTGGGTGTGTGTGTGTATGTGTGTGTGTGTGGTGTGTGTGTGTGTGTGTGTGTGTGTGTGTGTGTGTGTGTGTGTGTGTGTGTGTGGTGTGGTGTGTGTGTTGTGTTGTGTGTGTGAATGTATGTTTGATGTGTCTGTATGTGCGTTTGACCGGAAATCCATAACTTCCTTCAAAACAGCGATTGTGCGCTCAAGCTGATAAGTGATGTAGGAGGTCGGGCAGGAACACTATTGCTAGGTGGCAGGAAGTGATAAGAGCTGATAAGATAACATAAGGAGCCTCAGAAGGGAAGGGCTACTAAATTCATAGCGTCGGCCATAGCAACGTTCCAAGCAGTAAGGTAGGGGGCAGGATGGGAATATCAGTGATGGGTGGCAGGAAGTGATAAAAGCTGATAAGATAACATAAGGAGCCTCAGAAGGGAAGGGCCAATAAATTCATAGCGCCGGCCACAGCAACGTCGGGAGTTGGTTCCAAGCAGTAAGATAGAGGGCAGGATGGGAATATCAGTGGGGTGGCAGGAAGTGATAAGAGCTGATAAGATACTATAAGGAGTCTTAGAAGCGAAGGGTCATCAACTTGATAACGTGCTTCACAGCGACGCTAAGACTTCGGTTCCAAGGAGTAAGATAGTGGGCAAGATGGGAACATTATTGGTTGGTGGCAGGACGTGATAACAGTTGATAAGATAGCCCCAAAAATTCGCAACACAGTTGTAGCCACACTGGAGAATTGTCCCCAGCAAGTAAAGTAACAATAGTAGTGGGAGATAAATTCAGGTCGTGTCCGACAAGGGCTTTTAGGAGTCCGTATATGGTCACATCGCCTCGGCCAAAGAAACTGTGGGCAAAGGCTTAGTGAGCCAAGATGTTTCTATCCTTTGGCGATATAGTCTGAATTGATTCGACCGCTAAACTCGAGTTTCGACAAAAAGTAAAAGTTCCAAAAGCTGCTCAAGGTATGTACTAGGATATGAGGACATTTCACTCTGCGTCTGTTATTACCACCGAAACTCTTTCAACCGCTAAGCTTTCCTATTTCCAACGAATGGCGAATGTTGTCAAAAACGTGATAAGCCCAGTTAGTGGCAAGTTCATTAAAAGGGAGAAGCACGATGAAATGGGCCGTATTCCGAAACAAGGGGATTGGGCCAAGTATTTTGCTCAGCAGAGGAACCCCCTCAGTGACCAGTACCATGGGTTTAACCATGCGCGCAGTATTGCGCGTTAGCCAAACTGGTAAATAAATAAGTAAATAAAAATCAATTGATATCATGACGTAAGTACGTAGATGACTAAATAATACGTCTCAAACAAATTCGTGCGTATTGTCCTTCCCAAACCCTAAACAAACATCCGCTTGCATGGACAAAAGCACTTGGAATCAGAATTTACACCTTTCCACCACCTCTGCGTAGGAGCGTACTCGGACACTCGGACCAAATCTATCAGTGATAGCCGTTTCACTCATTTGAAGGGAAATATGTGTTTTGAAGACACACTGGTTTCCGAAGGTGTATCCTCACAATGGCACAGGAGGAGTCGATTTTTCGGGTGGATCAGAGGGTAGCGCGTCTGTGACCCATCTAAAATATCTCCTGAACTAGTGGGTCTTTAGAAAAACTGTAAAGCTTACTGGAAAGAGAAAAGATAGGGCAGTTCAAGACAATTTTAGTCCCGATGAAATTGCGTTCGAAATAAGTAATCCTTGTGTGGAGCATAAAAACCCGTTTGCCATTCACCCCTAGCCGATCCGAAAAACCACCCGAAATATTTCACGAACGGGGGAAACATTCCTCCGAAAAGACCCCAGGACGTTGGCAGGCCCAAAACCGCGCTCCAGTGACGTTTTTGCTGTGAAAGCGGTTGCGACCTTGCGATCGATAATAGCCAAGTATGGAACGATATACTGCCGCCTGGTTCTCATTTTTTTTCATTTGGCTCCTCATTTTTTTTTGCATTTTTCATGTTTCGCTTTGTTGTGTCGTGCATGTTTTCATGATTTCCCCGACACCATTCATTGAATGCGCATCTGGGGCCTGACACGCTGACCTTGGGGCTATTTTTTCACCAATTTAGCTTATCAGTGATCACCACTAGTCGCCGTTTCGATTGTGTTCATTCTTACAAGTTGCATGTCATACATGGTTGTCGAACGACGAGCTTCATTCTGAATCCTAAGACAAAATTGTAGGTAATGCGAGGCTGTTGTTCAGCCTCATATTGCATGTGGCTGAAACAGCCTATTATTGCCTGGATTTTAGAGCAGAGTCCGCCTTTCGAAAATCCAGACTCCATTTCAGTAAGCCATTTGGTGTGACATGCACGTGGTTGTCAGTTAGAGCAGGGGGGGGGTCGTACTCACACCGCGATTTCGCACATCCCCATACTGTGCCCCGGTCGGGGATGGCGTGGGGAGAGTGGGATGAGCCCGCCGCAGGCTGCCTTGCTCTACCAATGGTGATCAGGTTACGAACTATTCAGGAAGAAACTACCAGTGCTGAACACCACAGGTGAGGGCCGCTGATTGCAACCCCACTGATGGTGATGATACCAACCGTACATGTGGGATCACAAGTGTAGTTCATTTTTGCTACCGCTTCTGATACCTAAGATAGGCGAAAATAAGTTTTGATGAGTTTACAGTGGGCTCAGCGGTGAAAGTGTTCTCATGCTGCAGATAGAAGATTCAAGTGTTTCCGATCAGGTTTTTGTTCAGACATCTTTTCATTCTGCTACAAATACAAGGGAGTAAAAATTGGTGGGATGAAGAAATTTGTGATCGGGAAGATTCGAACCATTACTCATAGTCTACTCTTTTCGGTATTCAGAAGCGCGCAGCAGAAATGAACTGAAAATGCAATCTGTGTACAGTGCGTGCATCTCAAAAAGATGCAACAACCATGTTGGCTTAAGAGGTGAGAGTAGGCCTACTAGGAGGCGGGCAAGAGAATCGTAATTCGCCGCCCCGCAGCGCGCGGCGATGGGCGCGGCGTTTTCTTAACTCGGGTTAACCTGCCGCTTGGAGCACCGAACTCAATGTAGACCCCGTCATTGTAGACAATCATGACAATTTTCGATTCTGAATTGCGTGTTGTCGCCATCTACTACCTGGAACCATCGTCAATTGCGGGCGCGACGTCGCACGCGACGCGCACCGGAGCGGGAAATTACGATTCTCTTGTCACATACCCTCTTTTATTAGTTTCTGTCGAATTAGACGTTTCACCCTGATGAGACGTGAAGAGCATTGTCGAGTAAGAGCAAAGCCTCTGCTATTGCATAACTTCACACCACCAGCACCACCCCACCCCCCTCCATCCCGCCCTTCGCATCGCCTTTATAAATCTTGTCCTATGGGTCTGCTTTGTCTGCAGGCGTCACTGAAGAACACTGCTATGGGAATTCATCGAATAGTGATGGTCCAACGGTTGAGAAGGAAGTTCAGAGTTCTTTGAAAAATGAAACGATCAATCGAGAACTACCAGAAATGGACTGGATACTAGCAATAGACGTCAGAGTGGTAAGTGGTGTTTCACGCCTTTTTCCTTCTTCATTGTATATCATCCAGTTTAGGTATTGGTTATCGCTTCTCTGGTGATAGGTTATCGTGATCTGATACTTATCCTGAAAGAAAGCCCAGTTCTTCTCGGTGCGATTTCTACTGAGCACTGGACGTCACTTTCACTGCTTTGTGTTCGCGATCAAGCCATGAAAAGGGATGAAGTTAATTCAGAGGTAATTGTTTGACGCACATCTGAATAAGCAAGTTTGTTTCCTTTTTTTTATCTGATTTTCGTTGCTTTGACGTTCAGATTATCTCGGAGACCATGTGCAGTCTAAATTTCACGACATTTGAAATCAAGGCGTTGAATACGAGCAAGTTCATGCGACGGGATGGACATCAAACACAGGCTCCTATGTACAGCTGGATTATCGATAGCGCTGGGTGAGCTTCTACAGTGAGGAACAGTTTGAGGAACACACTTAACCTTTTCTTTGGCACTATTCATTCTTTATTGCCCCTCCCCCCTTTTTTTCGTAATGCAGGCTAGATTGAAGTCAAAATTTCCTCAGGTGGTAAATATGCCTGTACTTGTTAATATGGGAACAGTACTCGCTATTCGCAATTATTGGCGTAACTCCTGGCGCAAGCGCACCAGTTTAGATTGTTCTTCTTCAATGATAACACGAATATCGTCCGTTCAAGGCGAAATGGCATTGTAGGTGCGGCACGGGCAGGAGCGCCAAGCGCCAGTACCCAACTTATGTGATATTCATTTTCAAGAGGCCACCTACCCGAGCATTCTAGAAGACTGTAATTATCAGAACATAAACGCAACCGTTTCTGCACCTCACTTCGTCGACAGTTCAGACACATCGTTTAGGTGTCGCACTCCTAGATGAAATATACAGTATTTCATTTCAGCTCCTGTCCTGTCTGCACATTGAAACTGAAGTCTGATGTTGGGAACAAGGATCTTTCGGTTACTTCTTTTGTATGTGGTGAGTTACACCCTATTCGTCATGTACGTCCGATATTCCCTCTGCATAAGACTGAGCAGGTACACGATGTTCTTGCAAAATATGATCCGCTAAATATAGCTCTGTCTGTTTGTCTGTACGTCTCTTTTGTCTGTTTTTTTTGTCTCATGAGATTCATAGCGCGGGTGGGGGACTTTAGTTGGAGTGGCATACGGTAAGATACTGTAGAAACCACCTAGCGCATATCCCGAGGCCTGCCTGCGGCATGACCTCACTTAACTTCTGCGCTGACTGCTGACCTCTCACTGGCTGCTTCAACGATACGAGATGAATCGAATCGAATTCATCTAGAAGTAGGATTTGATATGTGAAGATCAGTAATTTCCTACTTCCATATTGATGGCGACAGATGTTCGTATCGATGAAAACCCTGTGGAAATTTTCAGAAATTTGCATTTTAGGTGCATCCACACATCTTGTGATCTTCCAAAGGCAAAGTATTGGGTTGGACTACAAGTAGTGGCGTTTTTTTCTGACAGGGATTTTCTAATGAAAATTGACAATTGTTCCCCAATGTGTTATACACTGTTTAGAAGATAATTTTCTGCTCTATAAGACAGCATAGTTGCCTTCCCGCTGGTTCTTACTTTTGTTTTCATTTCATTGAAATGGAATTGAATTCAACCCAAAAGTGAATTTTCGACAACATCTGTTTGCACTCTATCTCGTTTTCCAAATTACAGAATAAGTTCAAAACTCGTGGTATATATGACCAAGCAAAGCTGCTCTTGATGACAGCCTAAAGTTGGCTCAGGTCTCAAGATCTAGGAATGCGGACCCTGCGGATGTATGGGATCCCCCTTGAGGAGCGACTGCTTGCAGAAGCTCCATTACTTTGAACGTAGAGCATCAAGCAAAGGTGATGCTCGATTATTATAAAGAAGCATTTGATGGCCATCAACAATTGCTCAATCTTTGGCATGAATCTCCGTAAATAAGGTAACTCAGTAAGCTCTCATTCGGACTCAATAGGGCGTTAGGTTCGATGCTTGTCTGTGAGGTCGAAATTGAAATCGTTGAATAACTTCAACAATGTAAGCGTTCCTAAGAGGCATGGTCTCTTGACCATATACTTAGCAACTGGGCTTATGCGGTTTTCGGTTTTCAATTAGAGGTGAAAAAGGGAGGTTGTCGAATAGCTCGATTTCGTCGACCTGACGCTGCGGCTTGGGCACTTAAATATTCGGAAGAGAAAGTTCATAAAAAGTAAGAGGAATATCGTATAGAGCAAGGAATTTTTTGCAAAACAATATAAAGCAAGGGCAGAACATTCGATTTATCACGTTCCGTTGAGCAGCCAGTGAGAGGTCAGCAGTCAGCGCAGCAACTAAAGGAGCTCATGCTGCAGGCAGGCCTCGGGATATGTGCTAGGTGGTGGCTGCAGTATCTTACCGTATGCCACTCCAACTAAAGGTCCTCATAGCGCGGGTTCAGCAGCAGTGGAGGTGGGTCTGGCATTGAATGTGCACGAACTCAAACACCGTCCGCGAGATTGGTTCGGTCTCGAAATGTTCAAAGAGCGGCTTAAAGGTTGCTCCAAACAGCGCTGGTCAGACACGCTGTTTGAGTACTTGAACACAGTTGGCACCCATCCCATTCAGGCGTTCAACTGTGAGAGGGGGCGTCGCAAAATATGAAGCGTGGACCTCACCATAAAGCAGTACGAAAGCCGAGGGAAAAATTTAGGAAGATCCGAGAAAAGCAGGGTGCGGCTTCCTTTGTGTTGCCGCAAACGAAGCAGCTTCTTTCCGGGCGATAACATATTGCTGCCATATTACCTTCACTAGTTGTAAGTGTTAATTTCTCCTGCCATACGAGGTTATTAGGTGGAACCTTTATTAATTAGGTCTAACGTTTTGACTGGTTCGTCGTCTTCAGAGGCCTGAACATGCTAAAGCAATTCGGAATCGCAACAGGACTATCAAAACATACTGGTCTATAAGTAATATTAATATAAGTCACGAACTACACAACATCACGTTCGACAATCTCAAAATTTACACAGCAGATTTCACTGACATGTTCACAAATTTAGAGCATGATCTTATTCTTAAGAAAATGCAGGAACTCCTTAACATTTGCTTCAAAAATGCCAACAGATCCTTTATTGCCACTAATGGTTACCATGTTTTCTATACAGATGGTAAAGAACTCAAGAACAATTACAGATATTACAAATCCAGCGATTTAGTATGCTTTATTGACTATCTTTTACGTAACAGCTTTTGTCTTTTTGCTAATAATACGTTCAAACAGACTAGAGGTGTCCCACAAGGTGGCAATTTCAGTCCACTACTAGCAGATCTTACGCTTTCTGTCATGGAATATGACTATGCTAAATCTAAAAAGTTTAATAAAACTAAGCTGTTCATCCCATATAGATATATGGATGATTTGCTTGTTGTTCACAACCAAACTGATGATGATATGGATGAACTACTTTCTCAAGTTTATCAAAATACCCTTCAGTTGAAAAAAACTCATAGGAGTGAGGTTTCTAGTAATTATTTAGATTCAACAATTAATATCATTAACGGTAAAATTAGTACCAAGCTGTATAATAAAACAGATGATTTTACCTTCAGTGTTATCAGATTCCCGTATAGGGACACAAATATCTCTCTTATCAACAAATCCTCTGTTATATATACGGAAACTTTGAGGTTAGCGAACACTTGTTCGTTCTTCAACGCTTTCGTTAGCAAAATAACGGATATGATCACCACTCTTTTGAAAAATGGCTACGAGGAAGATTTTATTATTACTAGCATTGTTAAGTGTATTTATAAAAATAAATTTATATGTTACAAGTACTCAATCGCAAATAACTATAGAAAGATAATAGACTAGTCACAGGTTTACTCGTTTGCAGCAGTGATCAACACTAATTCCCTTCTTTCCACTATACTTAAATTGATTTATATCTGGTATACCTTCTCTATACTCAACATTGTCTCAGTGGCTTTGCCGGTTTACTCCTTTTCCCTTCCTTCCACACGTATTTACAGCACACTTCGTATTATATCATCTTTCATTATTATGTATAATTTTCATTATTATGTATAATTCATCATCATCTTGATGCATGAACTTTGCATGTTACCCCTTTTTTACAATCTCTCTCTTTTTGTCCTATTTCTCACACCTCCCCTATGTAGTCTATGTCCTCTTGTCTTCAACCTATCGCACTGATGATGCTCGGGTTTGGCTAGACAATGATGATTCGTCTGCGATACCGAGCGAAACGGATCATCTGTGTTGTGGAGTGTATTCCTTTCCATGTTTGTTTTTCTTTGCTTCTTACTGAACGTGTTTCAAGATCTTATTTGTTTTTTTTACACCATAAGGTGTGCCACAAATTGCTACACTATAATAAACTCACTGAAACTTAATATTTTTTCTAAACACTAAGACAGAGAGAAGGAGCTCACGCTATTCATACTATCTCCTGAGAAGAGAAAAAAGGTTATAAGTGAATATAACTGAACACTTGTAATCAGGGTACAGCATGGGGATTGGTCAAATGGCGGTGGGGTACGACTCCCCCCCCCCCCCCCGAAGAGTCCAGATAGGCTCCCCCCCCTCCTGCTCTAACTGACAACCAGATGCATGTTCACCACAAATGGCTCCTGAAATGGAATCTGGATTCTCGAAAGGCGCACTCTGCCATGCAATATGAGGCTGAACAACAGCCTCGCATTACCTACAATTTTGTCTTAGGATTCAAAATAAAACTGCTCGTTCGATAACTATGTATGACATGCAACTTGTAACAAGGAACCACATTGAAATAGCGGCTAATGGTGATCATTGATAGGCTGAATTGGGTGAAAAATACCCGCCAGGTGAGCGTGTCAGGGCCCGATGTGCATTCAATGAATGGTGCACGCACGACACAACAAAGCGAAACATGGAAAATACAAAAAATGCAGAGCTAAATGAAAAAGGATAACTAGGCCGGCAGTAAATCGTTCCATTACTTGGCTATTATCGAACAGGCTGCCAGGGCGCAAGGCTGCGACCGCTTTCTTTAGAAAAACGTCATTGGAGCGCGTTGTTGGACTTGCCAACGTCGTGGGGTCTGTTCGGGGTTTATATCTTTTTTAGGTGCGGCTTTTGAGGAATGGTGAGCAGCATGCAACGGCACAGTTTCTACTATTGTGTATTCTACCTAGCTACAAACTGAACAATCCCCGTTGGTGAAATATTCCGGATGGGTCACGGTTCGGCCAGGGGTAAATCGCGAGATGGTTTCCATGATTCACGCGAGGATTGCTTCGTTCAAACGCACTTTCATCAGGACCGAAGTCGTCTTGTAACCCCTCCATCTTTTTCTTTCCAATAAGCTTCACAGTTTTTCTGAAGACCCACTAGTTCAGGAGATATTTTAGATGGGTCACAGATGCGC